CCCCAAAACCCCAAAACCCCAAAACCCCAAAACCCCTTCCGACAGAAAAAATATTGAATAATTTATTATAAATGAACGAGAGAGGGTATCCTCGCTTAGAAATCAGCTCACGCATGTCTAATAAATCAACGACCACCATTCATAAGAATGGCAATAAGAATTACGGAACTCTGACTGATAGAGAGGAAAACAAGGATGAAAGTAGCAATAGGTCAGATTCTAATCATGATTATCTGGATGAAGATAGTAATCCTGAAATGAAAATTGATTCAGCACTTAACCAGATCAAGACTTATAGACTTTTCTTCTTTATTGGGATTATTCCAATGATCCTTTCCTTTGCTTTCAGTGATCTTATAGTGGATAGTCTGAATTTCTTAGAGCTGCTTCCAATGGGGTTAGAATGTCAGACCTCGAAACTAAACTATCAAGGAGACACTGTATGGGTACCTTGCTCGATTAACCGCATTTGAAATCAAAAACATGGTGATAATATTATCAGGAATGATAAAGGAATAGCAATATCTCGTAAGGTTCAAGGAGACTACTATGCTCTCCAGAATTGGGTTGAGAAAATGGAAATAGAATGAAAAAATAGTTTCCAAGTTGGTGCGATTGGGTCAGCTGCATTTGTTGGTATGACAATTGGCTCAATAGTTGGTGCAGCCCTCTCTGCCAAGTATGGGAGAAAGTTCATCTACATTGGAGGACTCATCCTCACAACCCTATCTCTTGTGATTGTTACTATTATTCCAACATACTACACAGGAATGTTCGCTCTTTTGGTGTACGGGATTGGTGTATTCCCAAGGATGACAATCGGATATGTCTATGCGCTGGAGGTCACTCCAGAAAGAGCAACAAGAACTCTTGGAATGCTTATGTTCGTTGGAGAATGTACTACAATTATTTTCTCAAATCTCTATCTTGTACTAGGAGGGAGAAATGCTTTGTTCTTTGTATGGATATCTCTTGGATTCTCTATATGTCCTTTGCTCTGTAGTGTGATTCTTCCAGAAAGTCCTAAATATCTTCATTCAACAAAGGACTATGATGGAGCGAAGAAGAGCTTGCAAAGATTAGCGGTTCTTAATAACCAAGCAGATGAAGATTTCTCCCAGATAAATCTTGAGAGGACAGTTTCTAATTCTGAGTACTCTGAGGAAGAAAACAGACCGCTTTTGTTCGGATTCTTAGACCTTTGGAAAGACAAAACCTCCCTCAGAAATACTATTGCCATGGCTTATTTGTGGGGGTTTTATACATTTGGGCATCATTGTCTCATCTTCATGGAAAAGTACTTCCCTGGTGATAAGTATATGAATGGACTAATGATTGCTTTAGCAGTTACTGTTGCACCTTTGTTGACTAGGGTGTTCCAAATTTATATGTCAAGTAAGAGCATTTATGTGATATTTTCATGACTTTCAATTCTGTTTAGCGGGCTTCATATAGTTGCATTTGCCAATGATTCCATCCCTGCGCTAGTGATGGTGGTACTCGTTGCTATCTGTATTGATGCCATTGGATTCACCAACTATTATGTGGAGTTTGAATATTTTAGTCCAAAAATTGCTACTCTGGCTTATGGTATTTGATCTTTGGCAGGAAGAGGCTCAGCGATATTCGCTCCGATGGTTGTTGAAGAGTTCGATGATACAATGTTCATTTTCTTTTTTATGTCAATAATAGCACTGCTAAGTATCGGGTTCATAAAGAAACCTTATGACGGAGAAGTGAGGTTTAAAGGGCAAGATATTGATGAAAAAAAGATTAAAGAAATGAATTGGTAGATAAAGTATTGTTAGATTATCACTATAAATCTTTCACAAATATTAATTGCTCAATTCAAGGGGTTTTGGGGTTTTGGGGTTTTGGGGTTTTGGGG